AGCTTTGTATGACATGGAAATAATTTTGAACTTAATTCTGTAGATAAAAATAAGCCTAATAAGATTTTCTTGAAATCAATGTAATATTTATTATGTACTTTCTCTGGACCAAAGCAGATAAGATTAACAAATAAATATAAGGACAGATACCACTGGAAATTATAATAGCCTCAGAAAATTGGTTATGGTACTAAGGGATGTTGTCCTAATTTTCTGTACAAATATGGCAGGCAAATCTTTCATAGACCTGAACACAACCAAACTCAATATCATGACTTATTAAAGTGGTTGGCAGGCTTTTATATATAAAGGGTCAAATAGTGTGTATCTTAAGCTTTGAGAACCACAAATGCCCTAAGTTACTACTCTTATAATAGTGCAAAACAACTGTAGTCAATAGGTAAATTAATGGGTGTGGTTTGTGTCAATAAAATCGATTAACAAAAATTTGTCCTGTAGGCTGTAATCTGATGATACATGATTTAGTACAATGAGATAATCCCCTGGAATTTTTCTTCACCAAATGCTACAGAAAGGTCAACACACTGTCTGTCCCTATATTTCAGGAAATCCCCAAGACCACCCTCACTTCTACAAGTTTGGGGGAATCCCAAGACCACCTTCTGGTTCAAAAGCTCACTAATAGGATAAACAGAACTCACTAGAAGCTAATATACTCACATTTACATGTTTTTTACAGCAAAAGGATATAGACTTATATAAACTAATGGAAGAGACACATGTGGCAGAGTCCAGAAAAGGTCCAAGTCTAAAACTTCCTGTTATTCCCAGTAGAATCATAGACAGCACTAACTCTTCCCAGACCTGATGTGTGATAATATGCATAGGGTATCATCAATACTCTGAGGCAAGCTCATCTGAGTCTTGATACCCAGAGGGTTTTTGTTTTGTTTTGTTTTAATATTTTAATGCTTATTTATTTTTGAAAGAGAGAGAGAGAACCAGAGCATGAGCAATTGAGGGACAGAGAGAGAGAGAGAGATAGACAGACAGACAGACAGAATCTGAAGCAGGCTCCAGGCTCTGAGCTGTCAGCACAGAGCCCTACACAGGACTTGAACTCACAAACCGTGAGATCATGACCTGAGCTGAGGTCGGAAGCTTAACCAACTGAGCCACCCAGGTACCCTGATGCCCAGAGTTTTTTACTGGGGATAAGTTAACATAGACATGGTTGACTGGTCACATAGCTGACTTTAGTTTCTAAGCCTTCCAGAGTTTGAGCTGATATTATGATCCTCAAATAAATCACATTGTTGACATTGGATATCTGCCCATGAGCCAAGTCCCCTAAGTAAATAAAGATACTTTTTACCAGGTAAGATATTTCAGGAGTTTGGAGATCACCTTCCAGGAGTTGAGAGAAAAAGACAGACCTTTCCTTGGACAAGGTTACTTCTTTACTACACATCACCTTTATTAGCTTCTTAGGGTTATCATAACAAAGTGGCACTGTAAATTGGATGGCTTAGAACAACAGAACTTTATTTTCATATAGTTATGGAGGATAGTTCTGGAGTCTGAGATCATGATGTTGGCAGGGCCATGCTCCCTCTGAAGACACTATGGGAGAATTGGTTCCATGCTTCTTTCCTAGATTCTAGTAGCCTCAGGCACTCTCTGGTTTGTAGATCACCATGTTCCCCCTGTGTCTCATTTTATCTTCCCTCTGTGCATGTCTCTGTGTCCAAATTTCCTCTGTATAAGGACACCAGGCATATTGGATTAAGGCCCACTTAATGACCTCATTTTATCTTAGTAGGTTCTATAAAGACCTTATTATCAAACAAAAGTATACTTGGAAGCGTTGGGGCTAGGGATTTCAACATATCTTTTGGAGGGAACATAATTCAACCCAAAACAACCTCGTAGGTTTGTTGTAAGGATTACATGAATTAGTATACATAAAATGCAAAGCAGAATACCTGGCAAATAGAAAGCAATTTATAATTGAAATCTTAATATTAAAACAAATCCAAGAGTTTGTAAGGCCTTATATATGTTAGTTTGTCAGAGAACTGATTAGAACACGGATGAAGATGTTAGTCTTTGATACTGGTGTACCTAGCCACTGAGTGGAAAGTCATGATTGATGAAGTGAATTATAAGTGCTCTAATCTGTGGACAGTAATAAGGACATGGAGAATAGATCACAGATGGCAGTGACTTAAAAAAAACAACAGGTGTTTTTATTCAGCGCTTACTTATTCAGTTCTATGAATATCTATCACATTTTATTGCAACGCTGTATTTGTTTGTTTACCCAGGATAGAACATGCCTTCGTAAACATCAGGAATTAGGTCTGTCTGAGCAAGTGAGTTACCCCCAGTGCCTGGTACATGGATGTCACTCAATCTTGTTTTTTGAATGATTATTTGAATAAATGATAGTCACAGAGCCAGGGATATGACAGACAACAAAAATGTTAAAAAGTAGTAATTGTTGTTGGAAAAGTATTAAAATAAATTGTAGAAAAGTGAAAACAGGCTTTAGTAAAACATGGAGATAGGCAGATCTTTTGTATCAAACCTCAGAAAATCATGAGACATACAAAGAGAAATAATTTTGTCTGTCAGACAGGTCAAATTTCAAAAATTTAATCAATGTTGAAATTTAAAAGAGAAACCTTAAAGAATTTGCTCATATTTATGCAACTGGTTGTAGTTCCTAGGATTCTCTGCTTAATTTCAAGGAAAAACACTTATAAATGAGAAAAATGCATGCCGACATAGTTTGTTTTTGTTTTGTGATATCCACCTCCTATTTAATTTTAACCATATGCTTTGTTTACATGGATTGTAATCATCATTTTTACTAACTAGCTTGGAGCAAAATTTTCCTACTAACAATTATCTTTCAGCCTATAACTTTAAAATCAAGATTGGTAAAACACTTTATTCAATATTTATTAAATGTCTATTATTGGAAAACCAATATACTAAGCTATTTGTGAATAATCAGAGGGAAAAATAACTAATCCTCCACTTAAAGAAATCTAAATATAGTTATATATATATATATATATTACAAAATATACCCAAAATGGACAATTTGTTCAGTGTTAACTCTAGACAGAGTGAACTAGAAAGCAACGATATACTTTGAATATGTTCCAAGGTGCCTGAAGACCTCATGTTCTTAGACCTTCTTCTACCATCATGAATGATACAAGGCAAACTTTCAAAACCTAGGTTTGAGAGCATACAAGTCCTGGCATCTCTTTCTCAGTTTGTAATTACAATGGCTCACTGGATATTTGAAAAAGGAAATAATGGTTCTATAGAAAACAAGCTATATGCATATGATAAAGTCAGATGAGAAGGATTTCAAGAAGAAAACAACACAAGGACCAGTTTTGCAGGCTGTAAAAGGACACAATTTTTGGTGCAGGTAATTCATTGATATTCAGCCTTATTTCCTACCTAAAAATAGAGGCTTCTAATTATATACTGTCCCAAGCAAGTCTTCAAAGTCAAATTGGGGGATATATACTCCTATGAGTACTTAAAATCTCTCTAGGAGATATACAAGCATATATAATTTTTAGGAAATCATTTTTCAGATACCAACTTTCTACCTCAAAAAACCTTGGGTCTCTTGGCTCTCTCTTTCAATATTTCTTTTTACAATCACTGGTCTGCTCTCATTTCACAACGTTAAGGCAAATTTTCCATCTTGAATCCCATTACAAAGCCATCCTAGTGATGGAAAAACTTTGAGGAATAAAGAAAAAAAGCACGATCTGAGAGCAGCTTGCATATGATTGAGGGTCTAGTAAGAGCAAACAAGACATATTGCAGGGGTCAGTGCCTTATTTCACCCAAAAAATAAACTCAGCAAATTTCTCCATTCGATCTATCTAATATTCTATGATAAAAATTCATTCAAAAGATGTGAGATGGTTGTCTGTCACGGGAGCATGCATTAATAGGTTCTTTAGAAATAAAAAATAAAGTTAGCCATTTTTTTTCTTCTTTTCTGATTGACCTTACGAATTGATTTTTCTAATTAGGTTAGTGGTCACTGTCCATAAAAAGAATCAGCTAAATTTGTAGTCCTGAGATGTGATAAAAATATACTTAAAGCACATAAAATTGTACATTATGCTTTTTGCAAATATCTAAATTTATGATAAAACTTTAGATTCCCATTTAGAATGTGCTATGATTGTATATTTTCTCAGTTATTTCAAAGGGCACAAACACACAAATACTTGAGAACCATGACATCCAGCTTCTTCTCATATTAATGAAACTGCTACTGTGTTAAGCAGAAATGGAATGGATGCAAACATAATATATTTTACATTGAAAAGAAGAGACAGACATACAGCAAACATTTGAACCCTGAGACTCTGTTTTGTCTCTCTCAAGGCATGTGATCCTTTTCAAGTTTAGGAACCGCAGTGAAATATATTCATTTTCTGGGTATCTTTATGTTTTATATATTCATGTTTTTTCCTTAACAAAAAGATTAAAACTAGCTTTTGAGGTGAGCATCCCCAGTGAGCACAGGCAGACAGTTGTAGTTCAGAAGGTAAGGCAGGCCCACTTGTGATTTACAATCAAGTGTATCAAGAATAATCAAACATCAGACAGAACCCTTCCTTTGAGAGAAAGGGAGAATGATTCAAAAAGTTTTTGTGAAGCAAAACCAGACCAATCCACCTATTAATAGACTCAGTCTAAATTAACTCTTCTATTTCTTTCTGAAATACATTGACAGCATTCATTCAGTGATGTGAGCTTAGAATAACAGTGATTATATAAAATTTATTTTTAAAAGATCTTGAACTATGCCACTCAGGCTGTGTTAATAATGAAGCTGTAGCTACGAAGGCGAACTCATCTAACTTATATGAGAGCCTTAATGTAAACAGCATACCAGGAGAGATACACAGACATGCAAATATTTGCAGAAGGATTTATTACATTCTTTATGGGAAAACAGATTAAAGTAGAGGAAAATGTACCTAAGCCTTTCAACAGTGAAAAATATTAACTAAAAAACAAAGCTGTCAAAAGCCATATTCCTAAGAACTTGGAGGATGATTTCAGGTTCCCAGAGCTGCAAAGTAAATCAAATAAATTTCATTTTGTTATTTAGATGCTGAGAATGAAGTCCTTCTAGAAGAGCAGGAAATATTTCCTTCCCCTTGTAAATGTTACCTTCCTTTTTATTTATTTGAAGCAGCTGTTGAGAAACAATGAAATCTGGAGCTTAGTTGAAGATAATCGATGTTATTAACAAGTTTATTTGCATATACTAGCATAACAGACCTGCAAGGGAAATTAGTGAACTAGAAAAGCTTTAACAAAAGAAGTGTGTGTATAGAGCATTTGGCCTTGAGATAGTTCATTTCTAGGTATGATACTTAGCTTTGTCATTATTAACTTTCTTGCTAATATAATGATCCAATTTAATTCTGAATCATCAAGTTAGATGGATAATTTAACTGAGCTGGTTATTCCTCTCATTTCTCTAAAAGACAGTCTTCTGCTTGGGGTGATCAACTCAGCTACATTTTTTTTTAAATCACATTTTCATGTAACATTCAGTGCTCAAACATGTCCATACCAGTTTGATCATTCCAGGACAATAGACAATATTTCAATGCCTAAGTAAAACAGATTTAATTGCTAAACAAGATTTCAAGGAACTGAACTTCATTTTAATCACAAGCAAGCTGCAAGGCAATTTTCAATTACAGCAAGCTTTTTATTTTTCTCCAGCTGTGTGTCCCTGCTGATTCCTGAAATTACATGTAAGTTGTCCCAGATTTTGAAGTGGTGTACCTACTGAGGTTTTTGTTTTGTCAGTTGATGAAGGATCTGTGATTAGAACCTAAATAAATTGGCATTTATAAGATGCATTACCCCACCCTGTATATTTCAGGACATGATGATTGAGCTTGAAGAAGGTTTAAGATATCCCCTAGTGGCAACTGTGTTCCTAATTAGGCTGCTGGTGTTGCAAGTACTCACCTCTTCCGCAGGAACATCAAAAGATAATGTGGGAACTAAGCCCTAGAAAAAGTAATCTGTTGGGTATTCAACAATCAGGTCAATAATGCATTGTATTTTCAAAGTTCTACAAAGTTCCAATTTTTAAGGAAGTTTGCCATGGGAGGCCCAGAGTTCGTATAGTAATAGTCTTACTATAAAGACTGAGGATAGAGGAGGTAGAGATAGATGCCTTAACTTTGGAGGGTTCAAAAAACACTGGTTCTCTGCTTCGGATTCCGTGTCTCCCTCTCTGCCCCTTCCCTGCTCACACTCTGTCTCTCTCTGTCTCTCAATAATAAATAAATGTTAAAAAATTAAAAAAATTTGTCTCTAAAGAGAAATCAAAGAAAGTCACTTTTGAAGATAGAAGGGGATAATGCTAATGGAACATAGGAAAGAAAAAAGAGTTTTATTTCAACTTGCAGGATTCATTTAATTGCCTTACTAACCTAATTCATATTTTTCTGTTATTTCTCTTTTTTCCTTTATTCACTAATTATTCATTAAATATATAATTGGCTACTATTGTAAGAAAATATCATATTACTTTTGTTATGTATGATCTACAAAAACATACTTTCAGAGATCTAAAGGGATTTTTATAGAAGGGGAGAAGATCCAGAATTCCTAATCAAGGCAAACATACCAAAATTTAAAGTAGAAACAGAAAAATGCTATTAGATCACTCTGAGTTAAATTTCTATGTTAATAAACATATATTGGGTGAGGGGACAGCTTATCCTAGGAATAAGGGAATAGTAAAAGGCACAAAAGAAAAGAAAACAGCAACTGGATTCCAGGATTATAAGTAATAACTTTTTAATTCATTTTAGAATGAAAAAGATAGTTGGATGTAAAGTTGTGAAAAACTTTTTTCCTAGTAATGAAGCCCATTGGAAAGGCTTAACAAGAGCATTGAACTAAAAAAAAAAAAAAAAAAAAAAAAAAAAAAAAAAAAAAAAAAAAAAAAAAAAAAAAAAAAAAAAAAAAAAAAAAAAAAAATTGAGAAAATTTATGTGGATGCAGTATGTGGATCTATTACAAGAGCTAGAAAATGCGAGAGAGGAAATCACTTGAATGAAATTTTGCTAACATTCGGAGAACATTTTTTAAATGTTTATTTATGGAGCACCTGGGTGGCTCCGTCAGTTATATGTCAGACTTCATCTCAGGTCAGACTTTGTCTCAGGTCATGATTTTCTAGTTAATGAGTTGGAGCCCCTCCACGGGCTCTGTGCTGACAGTTTGGAGCCTGGAGTCTGTTTCAGATTCTTTGTCTCCCTCCCTCTCTGCCCCTCCCTCACTCATGCTCTGTCTCTGTCTCTCCCTCTCTTTCAAAAATCAACATAAAAAATTATAAATAAATAAACAAATAAATGTTTATTTATTTTTGAGAGGAGTGAGGAGAGACAGAAAGAGAGGGAGATGAGGATTCAAAGGGCTCTGCACTGAATGAGAGCAGAGAGTCCCACATGGAGCTTGAACTCACTAGCCATAAGATCATGACCTGAGTGGAAGTCGGATGCTTAACCAACTGAGCCACCCAGACACCCAGATTCAGAGTAATTTAATTGGTGAGGTGGGCATTGACTTTAAGATATACTGGCTGCTGTAATGTTGTCTGTGAGACATGAGGAAGGTGTGAAAATTTAGAAAGTGAAAGTTAGAAAGTGGAAAGATATGGGTTGGAAAACAAGACAAATTCAATGAAATTAAATATTAAATTAGGTATGGCATTGGCTTAAATTTAAAAATGCAAACCTTAATTACTTGAAATAAATTGTTTTGACTAAAGATTATGATTTTGTGATTAACAAAAACATAGAAAAATAGTATAACATTTATGATCTTTCATATGTCATGAATTTGAATATACAAAAACCAGTAACTATTTTTCCAATAACTTAACTTTCTCTGTAAAGTCTCCCTACTTATTTATACACCGTCACCACCACCACCACCAAAAACAACTGAAGAACTACCTGTATCAGAACATTGATAGCAACACTGCGTGAAGATTCACATGTTCTAAAGAAGATTTCTTAACACTGAAATCAGCTCAACTAACTTTGCAGAACTGCTTGACATGCCAGTGAATTTTAATTTATAGCCAGTTTCCTGGTCTTCAAAATGACCTTGCATCATGTTGCACTATTGCTGTTTAGTTTAACTTTATCCTAATTTCCAGTTGACTCTAAATCTTATTCCTTTTAAATCAAGAATTAGTGACATATGATGTCATTTCTCACTATCTATTGAATGTATGTTTCCCAATCGCCATTGCTAACTTCATTTGATAATCTCTTTGTGGTCAAATTATATAAGAAATTTAAAAATGAATACATAGATGGGATATATATACACATATGTATTTATATAACTATATAGTATATAAATTCCAAGTATTCATATATATATGTACATATATATATGGATTTAAGCATACAATTATATTGCACATGTATGTGGGTATGTTTGTACTTAAAATCAAAGTAAGATGGCATAGTAAGGAGTGCCTTAAGAAACAGAAAAAAATCACTCATCACTTAGCATGTATTTGAATGTTTCACTTTAATAGAATACCTATGACAAAGTACCTTTTTTCCATGTAGCCCTAGTTAGTTTCTCACTGTCTCTGTAGATCTTTTTAGGTAATCTCAGTTGCTGTGAATTAATTCAGCTCACAAGGAACTTTAAACTGAATGTAAAACCTAGTAATTATTAAATTGTGATTTATAAAATAGTGCTCATGGATATTTTATTTTAAAAATCATTGCCCTTTGACATTACTTCATGACTTCCATTTCCTTATTTTATGCTAAATATCACTAAGTGTTCACTCAGACTGAAAAAAAAAACAGTAGAAATAATGTAAAACTTTAATAGAATAAATGTATTTTAACAAAAGTGCAGGGATTTTTATTCAAGATGCTTTCTCCTTTCATTCATTTCTGCTCTCTCCCAACATATCAATTAGGGATTTTAGATTTGTATAATATGTATATAGAACAGTTAAACTTTGTGTGTCTATGGTGTATATATGAAATTAACCTCACAAGAAATAGCTTTGCCTTGAAATGAATATCAATTTACTATATTTTATAAGATCATATTTCACTGATGGATATATTATGTTAGTGAATATTTTAATAACTAATTGTAGTTATAACTTCCAGTACTTATTTTTAGTAGTAAAATACTCTCTTATTAGAGACAAGGTGAATAATGAATTACCTAACTTGTAAATTAACTTTCACTGTTATAGTTTTTTGCACTCAGTAAATACTAGATTTTAGGTATTTTACTTGTATTATTCCTATCAGAAAAGTAAAAGGTAAAAAGAAAAAAAAACACTATGATGTCATAATGAAGATATTATTATCATGGCATTTACGTTTTTAATAGGCAAATTAAATAAATACTTCTAATGTTCTGAATACAGGTTTACTATATCAGTCCATTTTCATGGTTGTATGTAAGAAAAATTAACCCTGATTAGCTTGAGAAGAGAATGAATTCACTGGAAAGACAAAAGCTAGTTTGAAAATTCACAAACTTAGAAAATAGTCAAGAGCTAAGGGAAAGTAGGTTGCAATAGAAAAAGAGGTCAAGTCAAAGTTCCTGCTTAGGCCTCTGCCTATAGCACTGATATTAATTTTTCTCCACTTCATTCCAAACAAAATGCTTTACAATAGCCATGTGATTTCTCTGCTGTTCTTGGACATTTGAATCACTGCCTCAAGATTCATAATACCTAACAGCAGCATCTTATTAGTCACAACTAGAACATATGCCTGTGACAAGACTAACTGGGGAAAGGAAATACTATCTTCCTTTTGAGAAATTTGGCCTAGAAGGACACCATATGTGAAAAGTTATACCTAGGTAGCACACAAGGATGTTACATAATGGGACACTGATGAGTACAGAGAAGATGAGCATAATTAAGAAAAAAGGAAAGACTTACCACTTCAGCTCTTAACTAGAGTGTTATTAAAAGGGTATGAAAAGACTTCTGGTTTCAGCTCCAAAGTGTAGAATGTTTAATAGTCATCAGTCTTATCTTCACAACAAATAAATGATGAACAAAGTCATTGACTTTCTCTAAGCCATAAGAGAAAAGGTCACAGGGCAAAATGTCACCTTGAAATCTGTAGAGAGAAGTGAATCCAGAGAGTCACAGATGAAATCTGCTTACTGGAAGAAGCTTCTAGAGCCATAAACTGCTATGGACAATTAAATGTCAATCTGGATGAATTGCTGGAGGCAGAATGTGGACCATCAGGAGACAGAAATTTCTGGTGCTCAAGTGTCAGAGGACCTCCCACACTTCAGCGGGTTTTACAACCAGAATCCCCACCACGTCCTGAGAGTGAAGAGCCAAGAAAGATCAAGTCTTGGGATTACAGGGGAAGGGCAGAGTAATAGCTGTGAAATAAATTCAGAACACTTTCCATAACAAAGACCCACTCTCATGCTTGGGTGGCTCAGTCAGTTGAGTGTCTGACTGGCACAGGTCATGATCTCTCAGTTCATGAGTTAGAGACCCCCGCTTAGGCTTTGTGCTGACAGCACAGAGCCTGAAGGCTGCTTTGGATTCTGTGTCTCCCTCTCTCTGCCCCTTCTCCACTTTCACTCTGTCTCTCTCTCTCTCCTTCATAAAATAGATGAACATTTAAAAAAAATTAAAAAACAAACAAACAAGCAAAGGCTCACTCTCCAGAAATATGTTACTGGAGTTTATCCTACCTGAGGGAAGGGCATTTTCATACTGTAGCCCTATCTAGTCTTTCTACCTCATCTAAGTGGTTGAGGGGGAGAAAGGAAGCTAGGATACCATTGTGCAGTTCACATCTCAGGGACCCAGACTCACTGACTAAAATACGTACTCACATTTAGTCATAAGATTAGAGAAGGTTTCAATTTCTTCAAACTTTCACAATAAAACAACAATGCTCTGGTATAATAACAGCAAATTACAACAGAAAATGTTGCAAGATGCAAAAATCTCTCAGTGGAGAAGTACATAGGGAAGCATGAACTCAACATAAACAAGGACACTAGAAGAAATTGAAACTTGTCACCTATAGCTACAACAAACAGTAAACACAGTGGAACTCCTATTAATATTAATATGAAACCACAGCAAATACTTATTTATCTCCAGTGATATTGCAACTTATAATAAGAAGTATATATATTTGGTTATATTTCATCATTGCCTTCATTTCTGGCACAGAGCTCCTAAAACACTTGGAATTTTCCAAGTAATAAAAACAATTGGAGGACATCGTTTTCTTTACACACACACATACACACACACACACACACATGCACACGCACACACACACAAACACATCATCTCTTCCTCAAATAGCTCTGGGGCTGGTACCCCCAGGATTCAATCTAGTCCACCCCGTGGCCTCAGTGGAGGGGAGAATGGTTAGAGGTTGACTCAATCACCACCCACCAATTAATTAATCAAGTATGCTTAGCAATGAGCCCTCCTTAAGAATCCCAAAAGAATAGGTCCAGAGAGCTTATGGGTTGATGAACATGAAATGAGGAGAGGGTGGTATGCCAGGAAAGGGCATGGAAGTTGAACTCTTCTTACCCCATAACTTGCCCTATGTCTCTTAATATGGCTACTCTTGAACCATCTAAAATCTTTTGTAATATGTCAGGGATCCAATAAGTAAATTGCTTTCCTGAGTTCTACTAGCCACTGTACAAATTAATCAAGCCCAAAAAGGGGGTTGTGGGAAACTCTGGTCAGTCTGAAACACAGATAACTGTATTCTGTATTCGTGATTGGCATCTGTAGTGTGGGGTTGGCTACCGGGAGTGCTGTGGGACTGACACTATTCCAGATACTGCCATAATTAGGTTAAATTGGGGGACATCCCTCTGGTGCTGCAGAATTATTTGGTGTTTGGAAAACGTGCACATCTGGTGTCATAAGTGTGGTACAATAGGACCAAAAGTAAGGGAGATACAGAGGAACACAGTTTTCCTTTAGTCCTCCATTCCCATTATTCGATACACCATGAGTGATTTTCAACAAAAAATTGCAAGTAATGCCAAAAGGCAAGGAAGAAAAATACAGTTTGAAGAAGTAAAGTAAGTAGCAGAATTGGATTAACATATGATAGATTTTGGAATTATCAGACAGGATGTTAAAACAATTATGACCCATGCTTATCAATCGAATGGGGAAAAATAGCAACATACAACAATAAACTGGAAATACAAGCAAAGAGCTAGAGATTTTGAGTAAAAATTTAAAAGAAAATGAGATAACTGTGAAAAGTATCTTAACAGAAATGAAGAATGTTTATCATATATATATCAGTAGCCTAGACATAGGAAAGAATCAATGAGCCTAAAGATAAATCAATAGAAACTCCTCAAACTAAAATGCAAAGAAAGAAAAATAAAAATAATACTAAAAGGAATATCCAGGAACTATGGAACAATTTCAAAAAAGGTAACAAACATATAAGAGAGGCTAGCTCTCTTTTCAACACTGCATCCCTATAGTTTTAGTGAACAGAGTACCCTCTGTGTCTTCCCATCAAAGAGAGTAGGTGGATGGGTTCTGTTGGTGTATTTATTCTAATAACTAACTCTACTTGTCTGAATCTTATCTGATTCATTCTTCTACCATCTGCCATGAATTTCTGGCTTATCAGTTTTACTGTGGAATATTGTTTCTCCAAGATTTCAAAAGTCCTCCTAGCAGGATGTTAGCATATCTCCCCAAATCTTTGTTGGGGTGTTAAATCCTGTGTGATAGGAGAGTGCTACCATATATAGACTTTATCCAATTTTATACTATTTCCCAGCATCCTCGAGATCCAATCTGTTATATGGTCCCCTCACTTTTGCCAGAGCATTTTGGCTACGTCCTGCCACTTCTTCAGTGTATAGCCCTTTTCTTCTTTTATCAAACTGAGCACTTTCTCAGCCAGATTCTATAGTGTCTTCATCCCAGTTCCTTCTTTGGTGGCCAAGAGGGCAGGTGGGAGTGGAGAGGTGCAGTTTTATTTTAAAACAGAGATTTTGTATTGTCTTTAAATTTTGGGAGTGGGGTAGGTGTGGCACACTAATATAGAGGACTCAGCCACTTTGGTAGACCCAAAGTATTTCCAAAGAATCAAAGGATTCATGATTTTTCAGAGCATCAATCCACATGCCCCTATTCCTACTTGGACAGTTTCCACTTTTCCTTATAAAACATTAATCATGGCTTAAACAGATTTGCTATATTTGAGATTTTAAACTGCTTTGACACTTGGTACCCTTTTAACTAAATCCTAGGACTGCTTCTTATTTTTGTTCTGCCCTCTTGCTGAAGGGGAGGATTATATCTATATATGCTACCAGTTAGTCCCTCTGTTTTTCAAATTTTCCATGAACTGGTGATTAGTTACCTTCAATCTTTAATTTTCTTGAATGAATCTAACAACAGCCATATCATTACATAGTCTTTACAATCACTAGTTCTCTTGTACTTTTCAACGTCCTGAGATACTACACATGACAATTCATACACTTATATTGATGTCTCACTCTATTTAATCCCAGTTGTCATCTGGACCTTGACCACATACCTGGAGTTATCCACATTCCACATGCCATCACATGTGTCCTCATTGTCAACTTGCTGCAAAATCCCATATTGTAACTTGTTTCTTCAAATCACTCCAGATACCAACTGTCTTGGTATGAGTTTCTCAGGAAACAGATGCTTAGAGATTTGTATACAGTAAATTTATTTGGAAATACTCGTGGGAACAATGTCCCTGAAAGAATGAGAGAAGCGGATATTGACAGGACAAGTAGAACTGTGATGCTTTTGCAACAGAAATTTTAGCTAATGTTATAAGTAGCTGTGGAACAAGAATGACCTTTCAGACCTTACATGCAAATAAAGGCTTGATGCCAAGTTTTATAGGATTCTGAATTGACCAGTGATCGTGGGGGGAATGTATTCATAATGTTAATGATCAAAAATGCAATACTCAAGTTTACTCTCCATTATTAACACTCTTCGTTTTTAAGTCTATACAATTAAAAAAACCAGTCACAATTCCTGATTTGTAATGTTTGTAGATTTTCTTGGTATATATATTTCTATTATTGCCAATTTTAAGCTTCCAGCAAAATGTGGCCTACCACAGAGCTGAAAAGTGATGGGCAGCAGCCACAATTACAGAAACGCAAGAGATATAAATACAAGAGCACAAGAGAAAAATATAAAATAATTGGGACATCATGTGTTTCAAGTATTTAAATCACTTCAAAATATCATTTATAGAACTGTGATACATACTTAAATTTTTAAACATAACTATATCTAAAAACTGGTCTCTACATTTTCAGAATATTTACAAATGGCCCTCACAAGCTACTACAAGCTGGTTTGCGCAAACTCCTGCATCCCATCACAGCATTCATATTAAACTTAAATGCAACACATTAATTTGCACTTTCCTCAATTGACCACTCATGTTGGAAAATATTAACAAGCTATAAAGCCATGCTACAGGCACTTTTGAACTCCTCCATGTAACTGAGTACCTAAGTTCTTTCCTTTAGAATAAAAATGGCCTGGAAGAGAGTCTGCCCTGAACACTAAAACATTTGTTTAAAAATATAGGTTTTATTGCCTCCTCTTCCTGTTTAAAGGTGACACTTGTATGATTACCCTACTTTTTTAGCTTTGTACTCTCTGTACTTTTTTCTTAGCAGTAGAGGAGAATACTTGAAGTGGGTCAGAGTAAAAGGTCACCAAAGATGAGGCCTGGGAAATGGGCATGAAAAGTAAATGTAATTCCTTTTGTCTGATCTCTCTGATACTGCAAAAGCTCACATTAATTAAGGAACTACCAAGAATTACATAAAGCATGCTGCATACATTACCACAATGAATATTATCATTATCCACATTAACTTATGAGGATACAGAGGCACCCAAAACATAAAGCAAATTGTCCAAAGACACATACTTTTTTGTTGAGTAGGTGAAACCAAGAGTAAGCCCAACTTCTAGGAGTTTACCAATTTCATTTGTTAATCACATTAACTAAATATATCATTTACATAAGTCTTAATCATGGAAATAAATATATTTTAAAAGTTTATTTATTCAACATAATTAAAAACAACACTGAGTTAAGTGGTTATGCTTTGAATAGAAGCCATTCTTAGTGTATTAAGCTGTCTTAACATTTGGTTTATGGAAATAACAGCAAATATAGGGATCTTTGGTGCTTCTAAGTATTTACAAATAAAGCAAACAGAGCAAGTAGCAATTCTACAGCTACTATCATGGCAACCAGAGAGGAGACACCAAAGTTGGGACTGGTAAGCTGTTTACTAACCAATGGCTGGGAGGTCTTAAATGCATTCTGGATGATTCAGTAGTTTAGGCAATATTCTTGAAAGGTTGGATTAATATCATTGCTGATTTGTTCAATTTCCTAAATTGTGTTGATTAATCTTGCTCTAAAAAAATGTTATGAGGCCGGTAGACAGAAGGGGCATATTCTTTATTGAAGATGAGTAAGATAGACAACACTTATTTAATAAGCCATTGCTAAGAATTTATTTTGCCCCAGATAGTGTATTTGTGGGCGTATTTTTAGGTACTCATATAAATGTACGCTTTAATTTAAAGTGTATTTGTGGGCGTATTTTTAGGTACTCATATAAATGTACGCTTTAATTTAAAGTGTATTTGTGGGCGTATTTTTAGGTACTCATATAAATGTATGCTTTAATTTAAAAAATGATATATTACCCGTTGGCACATCAGTCACCATAGTGACTGATCAACGTGGTGATGACTTTTGAAACAAGTTAGTGACTAAATGAAATTAAAGTCACACCCTAGGGAAAACAAATACCTCAAGTTTAACTTTCCAAAAATTATCTGTTGAAGATAATTAGATGTATGTGTATATAGAAAACTAAGTAACATTGGAGACTTTTAGGAATACTGTTATCCTTACTTTACTCCTTGTTCATTCTATCTGTCCAACTTTCTGTTTATTTATAAAATAACAGTATTATCAATGGATCAAGTGCAAATAGATGTCATCAACAGTTGTTATCACATTAAATATATAAATAAATGTTCATAGTATATATGTTTGCATGTATGTTGTATGCATGTTCACAAAGATATTTTAAAGGTAATTATTAGTATTTTTCCTACTAAAAATAGATTCTGTGTGAGTACTGTATAGTGAATGGCCTTCTACATCCTTGTTGCATCTGCAGCTGCTTTTTGGGTCAAGTGCTCAGATGCAATTCCTTACATGTGGGTTGCCATGCCTTGGGTTTGATTTCTGAAGAATTTCCTCAGACTTGATTGTTGTCTGACAAAAACGTACATTAAATAAAAGGAAGACCAGTGGCTTTATGAGAAAGACTAATTTGGGAACTCTGTTAACCTACCGGATCAAATCTCCCTTTTGTGGTTGATTAACATAAGACATACAAGAAATTTTTACAGAAAGTTGTATTACACATCCGCAACTCTAAGTGATACATGGAGAAAGTATTCAGGACAAGCCATTTCACAGTAGACATCAAGAATAAAGAGAAGTGTGAGGGGAAAGGAGATAAGGTGAAAACAAAACCAAAACCAAAGTAGGAACATGAGGAACCTGCAGTAGATACCATAGCAGCCATCTAGCATAAGTTGAGTCTTTAGAGATTTTGGTGCTTTTAGACCTGATATAGTATCATAAATGTCTTCTCACTTCATCTTGATGCTTTTATTTTATTCTTGGAAAAATTTTCTTTCATTTTTTTTCTTTCCTGCATGGATTTAAAATAAAAAGCCCATACCAACAGAAGTAAGCTAAACATATTCCTGTTGCTTACTATCAGAGTTAAATTTACACAAATTGAAAACACATACTTTAAAATAAAACATTAAAATGCATATATGTATGTAAAAATTATTAAGCAATTTATATCCTTTTTTCATCTTAAAATGATTATAGAATATCTATGTTATGTTACCTATTCTTTCTGTTTCTGGAAACAATATTAAGGCTGTTTTGAAAAGTTACAAAGGCCACAATTTTTAACGTTTCTTACAAAGGAAAGGGGAACAATTAATTTTCTCTCCCCCAGATAAGTATATTTACAGAAACAATGTAGAACTCTATATCAATCCATTCCACACATCTTCTAGAACCTTCTGTTCTTGCTGAAATTTTAGGGCTTTTTCTGTGGGAGAAAGGAAAGCCATTGTAACGGAATATTATTGAACTTCATCTCTTCTTCATGGTAAGGAAAAATAGTTACTTTGATGAAGGAAGTTAAAAGCCATGTGAAAGCAAAGAGCAGAACGAAACTTACCAATGTCAACTGACCCAGGGAATTCAGAGTTATGAGTACTCTGATGAGTTTGCAGGACACTTACCATCTGCTTGTGTTCTAACCTACTCACAAGCTTACAGACTATGTACACTCCTCTTGGATTTGTGGGACCAGCACAATCCTGTGATTGTATCAAGTGACATCATTGGAAAATCATCCGAGAACAATGTTTATAAAGCCTAGCATTTGGAAAGTATTTATGTCCTCAGAAACCATCTTGGCCAATCTTCTCATTTTTACATTGGGAAACATGAAGCCCAGAAATATTCAGTAGCTAGCTCAAGGTCACAAAGTGAGTTATAATCAGCTCTAGGACCACAACATGATTTTTTTTATTCCCATTTCAGTTTTTATTTCAGTTCCCATATTTTTCTCACCATGGCATAGATTCAGCCATTTCTGCCTGATGATAGAAATCTTCAAACAATGTTCTCAAGGCTTATGTTTGTATTTTATTTAAAATTCGGCCTACTGAGACTTACTGAATAATTCTAATGATTTTATTTAATAAACACTATGTTGGTAATGAGTGCTATGTTATAATGCATTCCTTCATGCAATTCTATAAAGAAAATAAAAACAAACAAGATACTCTAAGAAGCAACTACTATCATTTATCCCATTTTACAGAAGAAATGGAGTTTCAATGAATATAAATAAATTACCCTTAGTAACAGAGTTTAACAAGGTGGGAATTTTTTTAAATATATATTTTTTAATTTTCTGTAACATTTATTTATTTTTGAGACAGAGAGAGACAGAGCATGAGCTGGGGAGGGGTAGAGAGAGAGGGAGAAACAGAATCTGAAACAGGCTCCAGGCTCTGAGCTGTCAGCACAGAGCCTGATGCAGGGCTCCAGCCCATGGACTGTGAGCTCATGACCTGAGCTGAAGTTGGACAGTTAACCAACTGTGCCACCCAGGCGCCCCATCAAGGTGGAAAATTGAGGCTGGTCTATCTCTCTGATTCAAAAGAAGTACTTTAGTTTATATCCAGTTTCTACTTAGTTTACATTTCTGGACATAATCCACTTTCACCAGCTTAGACTCAAAATATTCCCTTTTTAGTGGATTGACCATCATTCATTATTCTGAATGTTTCTGCCCTTTGTGCTTTTCCACTGCTTGAATTTGAGGGTATTTTAAAGCAATAGGACAATAAAAAGTCTCGGCTAGAACTAATCCTTATTAGCCTGAAGCTTCAGTATCTCTCAGTGTGGTCTTCTCTCCTTGGTAGTGAATGATCTGGTACATCAATAGTGTTGGGGAGGGTTATAGGATCTTTTATGTAATTAATAGTATGCCCTCTGAGGAATAAATACAGAGGTTACAATATAAATTCACACAGTATGCTGGCTAAGTGATAACTTGATGTGTTCCAGTGCATAAATCCTCCAAAAGGACTGAAGGATAAATTTGTGATAAAAAAGAGAAAGAGTTTCTTTTTAGAGTTTACAGTATTGTGTCTCCCTCTCTGCAAGGACAACTACATGGCTAAATAAATAAAAACAACAACTCAATGAAAATATGGCAAATTACTTAATTTTGTCAATCACGTATTCGATGAATATTTTCTGAGCTCCAATGTATAAAGAACCCTAGGCTGAATGCCGTAGAATATCTGAAGCCATGGTGTTCTGTGCAATGCACTTAACTGATTAGAAATGGGAATTGTAGCACAGTCAGTGGTGATATGTGTAACAAGAGGGATGTGATCTTTACTGCTGCCCTCTAGAGGAACATTACTGTAGATAGAGAAGATAGTTGACTATTATAATCAACCACAATTTGAAGCAGCCTTCTGTTGTATACATAGCCACTGAAAGTCTGAAGGCAAAGATAATAAAACAAGTAAAACAGAATGAAATTACATATTACCATGATTTGTATAGGTATTTGGAATGACTTTTTTCCCTTCAGTGTCCTTCTATTCTACTTTCTAAAATGACGCATTTCACTTCTAAATGATGCTAAAATAAATAACACCTAATAATAACTTAAGAAGAATTAGGAATGCTTTAATAATAACGTAGCTAAACATGCTGAATTTACTAGTTTATTCACATAAGTACGATTTGTATGGTCTGTAACTTTGAGGTGTTTCACATAATAACTATAAAAATAAAATAATTTTCCTCATAAATACTTAAAGTGATGTAAGTATTTTGGTAAAAAAATAGATTACTATGCATTGATAATACAATTACTAAATCTTACAGTATCTTGGATATCCTCGAAATACAGGGGGAAAATGTGGTTTGTAGAAATGGAGGGAATAAAAGTTGCCTGCATTTTTTTAGAATTATTAAAAATATCTTGATTGGCATCAATTAGCTCACTGTGTCTACATGGGATACTTACTGCTTCACATATTTTGTACCACATATTGTTTGCAGTGATTAACATATTTAACCAATATTTATGTGGGTGAGCTTTTCTAAATTCTAAAATATAATTTTGTTTTAATATTATAAAGCATCTCTCCATTGATGCTTTGTATTTATCTTTCAACTCACATCAACAGGTTAGCAAGTAGGATATTGTAAAACAAGGAAAATGGTTGTTTATCATTATGAACATATAACACAACTTCAAATGTGTTCTATATGTTCTATGAACCATTATTATTTCAATTATTTTTTCCCATTTGGAAATGCATTCCAGTTGTCATTTTGTCTTAGATAAAATTTCTTCTTTCAAACAATGTTATGCTCTTTGTCGTAATTACTCTTAGGGATTCTAATCAAAGGTGGATGTCATGAGAAATAAAGCATGCATTGGAATCACACATGCATTCGATGTTCAGACTACTGAATAAGGAATCCTAAACAGATATATAATTAAACACAGTAACAGCTGTGTTCAAGACATAGGAAGAAAGATGAAAAAGTGATCCTTATTATTCATTTAACTTTCTTTTTCTTAGACCAAATATAAATGTCTTTAGAATTCTGTGACGTAACTTAATTTTAGAAATGCCTTGAAATTTGATGTCAGCATAACACCTAAATGATAGACTTATGGAAATCAGGGGCACCTCGTTGACTCAGTCAGTTGGTTAAACATCCATCTTCGACTCAAATTGTGATCTCATGGTTCGTGAGTTCAAGCCCTGTGTCGGGCTCTCTGCTGTCAGCCCAAATCCTGCTTCAGATCCTCTGTCTCTCTTTCTTTCTCTCCACTCCTCCTTCCCTCTCTCTCAAAAATAAATAAACATTAACATTTTTTAAAAAAGATAGAGTGATAGATATCAAAGACACACCTGAATATATGGTATAACACATAGTTTTGAATATCCATTCATTCATTAATTTTTTCATTTACCCAGTATTTCATTATTTCCCTGATATTTTATTTAAAAACATTATATTAGGTATTGTGTTAATTAGGTACAAAAGAGGAACAAGACGTGCTCTCTGAAATTAAATAAACCCATTATGGCCAAAAATGGTATAGAAATGGACATGACTTTCAATATTTGTTTTGCTAATTAACATTTCATAGTTTGGCCCTGAAAAAATTAAACACTTGTATGTTGTTAATCTCTAGATTTACTATCTTGTAACATCTTATATTCATGGTATCAGATGAAAATGTATATCTTAATATTGGCAATAAATACTTTAAATAGAAAATCTGCTTTTGGCCAGCACTACGTTTATTCAGTTTATTCTTTTGTAAAAAAAAAGTCCACCATGTAGTTTTAAATGATACTCTCACTTTCCCTGAAATAAAGGACACAGAAACTTTCCAACTTCCTTTTCCAGAAGATAAAAATAATAGTGAAAGCTGCAGGAGTAAATACTCTCAAAATTTACCATGAATGATTTGATGTGTAGTTTCTTGTACCCCGTGAATAATGGAAGAAACCTCACTGGTGTGCTTTATAGAATTACAGATTTACGTGGATTAGAGGCAGGGGTGGGTAAAGAAATAAAAGGCATTGATCAGCTTTGATAAGGGGTTCATATGAAGGAGTAGAAGATGATTAATTAAAGTGGATGTGAAGTTTGGACGATGAATGTAGTTAGCTTTTAGAACACAGTTGAAGAATTTGAGAAAAAGTCTATAAGCACTGTAAGAATGTTAGTGAGGTCAGTGGGAGTGATCTAGAGATGGCAAAGGTTTAATCAATAAAACAAATTCAAATACATTATTTCATTCAAATTCAATCACTTTTACAAAATACACAAGTCATACTTACTCCTCTAAGAAAACTCGTAAGTAAAAAGTGTGAAGACAAGAATAAAAAACAGTTGTAATCCTATCCCTAAAATATGACCTCCAAATATTCTGATGTTTGCTTCTCCAAAGATATTTCTATTCAGTAGAAACCCATGAGGACTTTCCCCTTATGTTTTATAAAAAAATGACATCAGCCTTCAGCTATAATTTGAATTCAGATTGTTTCACTAATTTTTCGCTAAACAGTGTGTGTCTGTGTTTTGCTTAACTTTGCTGTAACTGTCCCTTAAATCTTTATTGGAAGGCAGCAATACCTAACTTTGTGATTTTTGTCAGTATGTATAATGGAAGTTCTCATATCAATTCTTACACCTAAAAAACCCCTACATTTTAGTATTCAAATATTAACTCAATCTGTTAATGATCTGATTTTTTGTTAGTTTGTACTCCAAATTGACCTAACTGAATTTGCTTTTCAGATGTATGAGATTGATTGAGTAACCTTCGGTAGCTTCCAATAAGTTGGAGCTGAATGTTTTCTCTTCAAAGAAACTTACTACCACAAGGTATGCTCTAATACAATGTCTCAAATCAAATTTTGTCAGACTTTGAAGCAAGCAAGCATGTGTGCATACATGAAGACCTGCACACACCCATACAAC